TGCACAGTACTGGAAATGGAATAGATGCAAGTGTAGATAACCTGTAGTGCTTAACACTGACTGTGCAAGATTATGCTGCATTAAATGTCTGTAAGTTTTTATCTTGCACAGAGGCACAGATATGGCTCGTTATTAGAGACACACCTGTTACAGTAAGCAGCTGAAGAAGCCATTTTTACATAATTCTCCAGGCGCCACTTACAACAAACTAGTAGTGCTGCCCTGGGTTTTTCTTAATCCCATACATACATTTTTTCCAGTACAAGAGTCAGGGGTTGCCTTTCTCTCCCATCTGTGAAAATTCCTTTCTGTGGTTTTTCTGACTTTTTTTGTTGGTGGACTGACCAAACCAAGCCCAAGGGTTTTTCTCAGCAGACTCTAGAATTAAGCTCTTAAGCCTACTTGCTATTCAGCAGATCTCATAAATACATCTCAGTAGAAATGCAAATTAAAATAAAAATGTATATTCATAGTATTTGTCTACCAGAACAAAAACGTGTCTGAGACAAGCTAAATCTCATTGGCAGTTTTCGTCAGGAAAGCATAACCAGTTTTTAGCATCAACATGTGCCACAGATGTTGTTCCAGTTTCTGTACATCCCAGGACCTCCCTAAAAGCCTTAAGGTTTTGGTCAGTTTGTACCTGAGCACCACCCAGTAGCTGGAGACCCACACTGCACAGTGGAACTCATTGGAGTAAATGTGTTGGATGACAAAGCCAACATTTTTATAAGATGAAACATTTTGAAAGGTTTGAAGTGAAGGCAGTTTCAATATTTTGACTTGGGAGGGAAGGGAGTGGGAAAATCAAAAACCCCAAGCCAGAATCCCATTGTCTTGTATAAGGAAATGAAACACCCAAAAAATCGTGTTTTTTCAAAAGTGCCAAATATACAGCTTCTTATGAAAACATCACAACACTTCATGTATGGGCATAAAATACTTAATCAATAAACCCATAAATAACAAGAAACAAACCAACCTCCGGTAACATTTCACTTTTACATGCCTAGTTTAGCCCAGCTGTTGGGGGAATAACAGTACCTGACATTTGCAGAATGCTTTTAAAGAATTGCTGTTGCAGGGTTCTCCTCTAACGTGCACATCCTGACTGCCTTGCAGCTCAGCCACTCAGGTTGGCCATCAGCTGGCCCTGATCGGGGATGAATTTAACAGGAGGTACCACAGGACATTAGAAGAAACACTGCTTCACCTGGCACGAGTGTAAGTTACCTTATTGGCAGATCCTTTAAAAAGTCATGTTAGACAAACAAGAATGTTTCTGTATACAAAATTTAAAAAAATTATTGCTACTACTGCTGCCTCATACAGAACATAGAAAAGCAAAGCAGCTTGTTTTACAGGGAAAAGATTTGTAATAATGTAAAGTGCAAATTGTTTCCACAGACTAGAGCCATTTAAAGTCAAAAGATTTAAATAGTGTCTTGCTGTTTCAAATTCCTCAGAGGCACAGTAACTTTAGACACAATTTTAAGCACAACTGAGTGATAAGAAACCTGCAGCCCAGTGTGGGATTAACATGTTACTGCATGTGCAATAATTTACCCATGCACATACTAGAAAACATGGCTGGACTAGTTTGAACTGCCTTTTATCTGCTGTGAGCTGAAGGGTTGTCCTGCATAGTTATTAACTGACATGCAGCAGTGTCCTAACATGAGATACTCAGCTGTGTCTGAAACCCCAGGTACTCTACCTTATTTTCTCCTTGCTTCTGGGAGAGGATGGTCACTCATTGCAGACCTACCAGAATGCAGTTCAATTACAGCTGTGTAACATAACATAGAAATATATCTGTATATAACATATATATATACACCTTCTACCTCAGCAAAGCTGGATTCACACTCCAGAGAGAGCCTGTGGCATTGCTGTGTCAGTCTCGTATTGCTGTGCTGATTCATCAGACATAAACATCTCTCACTGGGTTATGCTCTTCTAAGTTTGAAACAACCACAAAAACTGTCACAGAATCACTTAATTCTGAAACTAAATTATCTTTAGATTTCAAAGGTCTTCTTCCTAAATATTTAGAGAAATATACATGTACACATATACTTTTATGAAGGAATATACTAAAGGTTTTTGTTAAGGTTTTGTTTTGGTTGGTTTTTGTTTCCTAAATGTTAGTATTTTATTTGCCACTTTTTAGAATACATTTTTTATCCTCATGCTTTCTTTGTTTAAATCATCAGGGTTGCTATCAGTGTTTTCCAGACATGGAATGTTATTAAAAGTGTTACAAGGAGCTTTGGAGGTGTTGTGAGCAGTAACTGGACAAAGTGGATCACTGGCTATGGAGACTGGGTATGCTCTCTCCCTTTTCTCCCACTTTTTTGTTGGCAAGTAGGCAACAGGAACACCTGACTCCCCTGTAATGTCAGTGAGTGAAGCACATAATGTGGCTTCACGCTGGGGTCTATCCCTTAGTTTGTTGGTGCCCCCTCAGTGCCTGTTTTTTTCTCTGTAGACTGAAATTTCTCATGTAAAGACAGAGGATGCTGCCCAAATCTCACACAACTCACGGGGTTCTGTTCAGAGGGGAGGCACCTGCCACTATCAAATGCTGGAAGGGTCTCCCTGGGGAGATGAGCAGAGCTGCTGCCAGTCATACTTACCCAGAGAAGACAGGAGGATTCTTTAGTGGTTGGAGAGTCCTCAGTAAAATTCACCCTCCTCTGCATTTCTGCTGCAGAACTGGACCGTGCTCTTGGGCCCACACTGACCTCCCACGTGGGCCCTCTTTTAGTTTCCTTGCACCTTCTTTTTGCTGCTTGTTATTTCTAATTACCTTCCCCTTTCTTCCCACAGACTTGCAGGCTTCCTGTCAGGTGTCTCTGCCAGAAGCTGGTGCCTGCAGCCTTGCTTGTTGCTGCCTTTTGGTGGGCCATGAATTATGGACTGTAGAATTACAACAGGAGGTCATTGCTGGACACTGACCGACATTGCTGACACCCCAGTGGTGGCAGCTGGTTTGTTTTTCAAATTTACACTGATAAAAATCTCTTTAATATTTAAAACCTAGGCTAGTGCTGGGTCACTGCTGTTTCATATCTTTTTTAAAGAAAAACTTGTAAAATAAGGAGGTTGTTGCTGGATAACTGCCTGACTTGCTAGTTTTGAAATGTGACTCCAGGTGATTAGAAAGTCTTTTTTGTGTTTATTTTAATGCAATATAAAGTGTCTGTTTCCTATAAATGAGTTTGTTAGAGATTCTGGATGTGACGAAAACTGAAGGCATGCTGGCCATCCTTTAAATTTTAACACTGTAAAAGCAATAGCAAAGATTAAAACCATGATACTTTTTTAAAATTAAATTGTTGCTTCAAAACTTTTGCAGTGTTGTCTGCTTTATTTCCCAAGAGTCTGCTATCACACATTAATGGCAGTATCTTCTGCCCCTTTTCAAAGTAAAAGTAGGAGCTGCCCAGAACAAAGAATTGGATGGATTCTGAGAAGAGATTTTCTCGGAGGATGTGTGTCTTTTTGCAAGGCACGGGCTTGGAGGCAATAAAGCTTGAGGGGAACATGAGCACAACTTACAGAATGGAGATGGTGGAGGTGTCACCCTCCTGGACTCCACAGGTGGCCATTAGGGCACAGCTGAGTTGTTCGTCTCTCAACATCTCCCATTTGTGCCTGGTTATTCTCTCTGTGTATCTGCATCTTCTCTTTGCTGTTGAAGCTGGTTTTCAGTGTCCAGCATTAGACTCTCTCAGTGAGAGAAAACAAAAGTGCATCTCTGTGGTTTGGGTATTCCCCTCAGCAAGGGGATGCCTGCTTCTTGCCCAGACAAGCAGCTCCTACCCTTAGTGTATTTTTAAAACAGGAAACTACAATATTCAATGGATTGTGATCTAAGCACTCATCAGAGAAGTTGGAGTTTCAAGTTCCAATCTCTGCTTTAAATCAAACAAGTGAAGTCTTGTCTTTTGCCTCTTTAGTGAAGATAAATGCCAAATCAAGCCAAATTAAAGCATGTTGAGGAACATGTTTACTCTCTTAATTGAATGCTGCCTAAACCCCATTATGATTCTAACTGCCCTTCTCAAAAAATGTTTCTGGAAAAAAGAAAAATGAAGCTCCACTAGACTATTTCATTTGACTGTTTCATGCAAAAGATGTTGAAATATCTTTGAATTAATGACTTGAAATGCTGAGCAAAAGGAAAGCAGGTAAAGAAGGAATGTAAAGGGTGATGGCTCCAGCATACCCCAGAAATTCAAACAGCAGCATATATTCCAGTGTCACATTTTTTCAAAATGCTCTCAAGCTGATGTGCCCTGTGTGTGTGTGAGGTAGCCAAGTTTTTTCTAGAAAAGCACATTTAGCACACCTGGAACTGTAGTTACACACAGGCAGAAATTGGCCCACATAGCCAAAATAACAGACTAAAGTTTTATCAGTGAATTTACTGCTCTGTTTAGCTCCATAATAGCAGCGTGATAGAAAAATATGTAAAGTTATGATTTAGTAAAGGGTAAAATTTAACATCTAAAGGGTCTAATAAACAAACTATTAATGTGTAATAAAGTACTAGTATGAAAAAATTGACTCTTCCCAGCTGAATCAATTTAATACTACCAAATAATTATTTCTAGGTAAATAACCTTTATGCACAGGGGAGTAATGATGAACATGACACTCTTCACTGCCTATTTCATCCAAGAGCTGTGTGGAGTGACTGCTTTTTCCCACTCTTGCAATTCATAATGTAAGGCTTTGAATCACAAGAGAGGGGAATTTCATCACCCAGCATATATGGAGCAAAACACAGTCTCAAGGAATACAAAATTCAATCCCAGCAAAGAAATAAATGAAACACAAAGCAAACGGCACCCAAAGCCACAACAATCAGCACTAGCTGGAGTGCCAGGGAGCAGTCAGTGCCAGGCTCCCCTTTCACCTATGGAACACAGTTAGTTAATCCTCTAGTCACAGCCCCACAGTGACTCAGGAGACTCAACATTAATTCTTGCTTTTTCACTGCCCACTTCCTCATGTGACAGCATTTACAGCACTTGATTTTCCACATCCTGTTTCTGCTTGTTCATAGGTGAAGGAGCCACCAGAGAGCTGGTTTCTCACCTCTCAAACATTCAGTTTCCAGAAGACAGGGGATAGAGGAGGAAACACATTAAAGAAATGCTCTGAGATCCAGGATTTGTAATTACTTGGGCACTCTCTGCACAGCACACACAAGGTGAGGCTGTGCTGATGGGCACCACACGAAACCAAGCCCTGAACACTCCCCATACAGAGGTACAAAGACATCCATCACACTTTCTCTGCTCCTAGAAATTGCAACATCAGCACAAAAGCATGATTCCGTCTGGCTTCTGGTTTTGGAGACACAAAGTTCACTGAGGAGCAGCTTCAGCTCAACCACTGCACAGAAGAAAAGCAAACACCTGACAGTGCTGATGGGTCCTTTTCCCCACTAATTAAACAAGACCCAGAAGATTGCAATGCTCTTAGGATACAGATTTCCCTTCAGCATTCTGCAGCTGACAAGAGTGCAAACGTTATCTAATGGTTTGCAAACGAGATTTCTAGCATGGATTTCCCAAAGAGCTTTAATTCCAAGCAAAGTGTACAACAAAGTGAAATGAGGAGGGGGCAAAAGAAGGAAAAAAATTATGGCAAGAACACTACAAATAGAAAACAGGTCTCCAACATTTCCTCAGAAAGGTTAAATAATTAAAGTCCAGAAATTTTAAAGCACTAAAATTAGTGCCACCAACATACCATGCTCAGTTTCAACTATCATAAAAGCTGGTTTGAAAGTCATAAATGTTGCATTTGGTCTTACAAGGTGTGGTCAGAAACTTCTAACACAGGACAATCCAGTGTTTAATTATATAAATAGGATTTAGTTTCAATATTCTAACCAATAATTCTAACTGAAGACTTCAGTATGCATTTGTGAATCATTAACACCTTACCTGTAACATAGGAACCTTCACTGAAATAATTTTCTTTACAGTTATTCCAACCCTTAATCATCAGCCTCTAGCAGTCGAATGGTGAAGCTGAAAAACTCTTCAGTATTTTACTAATTGTTAATGTTTACACATGCTAAAAGTGGAATTTGTACTGTAAGGGCAGGCACAGCTGCCAGCTGCAGTCCACAAAAGAACTGTTTAATAATACAGCCCACTTAGCAATGAGAATAAGGGACAGTGTTTCTAATTCACTCTCCCTGTCATAAATGTGAAATTGCAGAATGATTGGTACTGTAATTGGAAGTTCTCCTGCATTTCCATAATACATTATTGAAGATACTGTCAGTCATTTGATTTAAGTAATATATCCTAATTTTTTTCTATATATCTGTTAAATGCAGCACTAAAATACCGAAATAAAAAATACAAACTGGGAAATGGGAATCTCTTTACTGGAGGGTTTGGGACAACCTGCTGCTCTCCAGCTCATCATTTCCTGCTGCCAGGAAATGTACATAATATTTTTATTAAACTTTTTTTCCCCAATGAACATTTCTTGTGTAACTCAGCACAACCAATGTGGCATCGGACAAGTGGAAGGAAAGTTACTTCCATCCACATGTGGACAGAGCCAATAATGATGCACCCCAAAGCATTAAAAATGGCAAGAAAAGCTTCATAGTTTATTTGTAGTTTAACCTTAAGAAAATAATTTTTTCTTGTAACATCATCTGCCTCACTCAGATGCTACCTGAATGTAGCCACCTGAAATGTGGACACAAAGTAAGAGAACTTTACATAGATGAACACCCCACAAGTCAGTTGAGTATGAAAACAGAACATCAACATGCTGAAAGCTGTCCCAACAAATGGCTCCTCTAAATGCACTCTCCAGCCCAGAGCACAGCCCTACACAACTTGGAGCCAACAACCCCTGCATTCCTGCAGAAGGTGCCTGCACCAGACAGCCAAGGCTACCAACTGGAACCTGAATCCACACCCAAAAACTCCCCCAGAAAACAACCAAACAAAAAAAACAAACAAAAAAAACTCAAGAGGGAAAGTTGCTTGCAGGATTGAGGCCAAACAATGCTACTTGGCCTGTTTGTCAACAGCTTTGCAGTCCTGACACAGATGGAAGAGCCAAACTTTGTTCTCCCCTTTCCACACCTGAAGAACTTTAAAAAAAATGTTCATAGCAATCACACACATAGTGCTCTTTACATCATGAGAAGCCATGAATGTTTAAGACTTCCTCTTTTGGGAGCACAAGGTTTCAAATCAGAAAAAAACCGAGTTGTGTGGATTTTTCTCAAAAGGTTATTTAAGTCTCCGCTGCTTCCTCATCTTCCAGAGCATCTACATGTTTATATTGTTTCCAGGCCTTTAAATTACATTGTTTGAGAATGGCTCCTAGTTGATTCCCGGGCCCCACTTCGTATGTGTAAGGAAATTCTGTTCCTTGCTTTCTTTCGTACACTGAGTGCATGGTCTGCTCCCACAGAACAGGGGACACCACCTGCTTCACTAGCAGCTTCTGAATATGCTTTGAATGCATGTACTTTTTGCCATCAACATTGGAATACACACAGAACAGCGGTTTCTGAATTTCAATCGATTTTAGGACTTCAGCCAGTGGCTCTATTGCTGGTTCCATAAGTCTGGTATGAAAAGCCCCACTGACTGGAAGCATTTTTGTACGTTTAAAATAATATTTTCGGGCATTCTCCTGCAAAAACTCCAAAGCCTATAAAAGAGAGAGAGAAGTGAGTCTTGCACAACAAAGGTTTTCTCAGTTACCCCACAAGAATCACCTCATCAGACTTACTGTGATAAAGGGATTCCTTTCCCTACCCAACAACAGAACACATGCCGGAAGAAAAACCCCACAGATCAAATACTTTTGTTTGGACTAACTAAGGCCGTAAGTTACACCCACACAGAAGTGCAAAGTAAAAGTTTTTAAAAAGTGAAATGCTCAGTTCTGAAGGAATAGTTACTCTGAAGCAATACCTGTAAGTGTCCTGCAATGACTCTGCTGTCTGGAAACAAATAGTTTGAAACTGTGCACACGGGGTTCTCTATACCCAGCGATTCACAGTGTTTACGGGCTTCCAGGCAGGCAAATTTGTAATTTGCCTCTCGCCGGCCGACAACCGAGAGCATTCCACTGGGGACAGCTTCCGACGCCTTTTGCATGGCTTCGGCGCGCACTTTCACCGCGTACAGCGCTACGGAGAGAAACAGAGATGCGGCGTAAATGTGAGCGCGGGCACCTGCGCGCAAGAAAGGGCAGTTGTTCACTCTCCGTGAAATGTCAATGCTTTTAATGCCGGATTACACACGTTAAAACGAACAGTGGGAGTAGAAAGTAAAATTTGTCCTCTAATTAAAAATAAAAAGCGAGAGGGACACAGTGAGAACACGCTTTGGAAACAGCACTGGGAGATCCTAGCAGGGAGTTCCGCACGTCCCCCAGGCACCTTCGGCGAAGTCCAGGGCTCCAGCGAAGACCAGCGCCGCGAACTCCCCCACGCTGTAGCCGGCGGCCGCCACGCAGCGCTCCACGACCTGCGGGGACACAGAGCCGAGCGGCGCCTCAGCCGCAGCGCGGGCAGGCCCGAGGCGCCGCCGCCCCGACGCCGGCCCGGCCCGGCCCGGCCCCCGCACCCGACGCGGCCGCTCACTTCAGGCTGCAGGTGGTTGAGCTTCTCCACGGCGGCCAGGGAGGCGACGAACACGGCGGGCTGGCAGTGCTGGGTGCGGTCCAGCGCGTCCCGCGGCCCCTCCAGGCAGAGGGAGAGCAGGTCGTAGCCCAGCACCTTCTCGGCCAGGTGGTACATGTCCCGCACGGCGGGGTACTGTTGCAGCCCGCGGCACATCCCCACGAACTGGCTGCCCTGCCCGGGGAAGAGCAGCACCGTGCCCTCCCGGGGGCACCGCCGCTCCCGCCTCGCCGCCGCCGCGCCCGGCTCCTCGGCCTCCACCGAGCTCTGCAGGAGGTCGCTCAGGCTCGCCGCCCGGTCCCCAGCGCCGGGGCGGGAGCTGCCCCACCGCCGCGCAGCGCCGCGGAGGCCGCCGTGCCCGCTGCAACCACCAAGCCGCCATAGCGCCGCGGCCCAGCCGCCCATGGCCGCCGCCCGGGAACGGGCGTTGCCACGGGAACGGGGCGGCCCCCGCCGGCAGCCGCAGCCGGGCCGGGCAGGGGGGACGGGAAGGGAGGGAGGGAGCGAGGGAGGGAACGAGGAACGAGGGAGGTCGGTCGGGCCTCCCGGCGCTCGCCGCCCTCAGCCCCGCGCGCCGCCCTGGGCCCGGCCCGCGCCAGGCGCCTCAGCCCGCCCCGGGGCGGGGGAGCCCGCGCGGCCCGGGGGCGGTGCTTGGCTGCCCGGCAGAGCAGGCGCGACCGGCGGCAGCAGCAGCGCGGCAGAGCAGGAGGTAACGCCGGCGCTGCCCGCGGCACGGCTCGGGGTGGGACGGGACGGGGAGCCCGAGGGGCGGTGCAGCCCCGCAGCGGGGCCCGGCTGCCTCGCCGGAGGGGCCGCCCGACCCCGCCCCAGCCCCCGCGCGGGTCCCGGCGCTCCCGGAGCGCTGCCGCCGCCGGGACCCCGCCGCACCCCGGGCGCCCTCGGCTCCCCCGCGGGTCGCGGAGAGGGTTGAGGGGGGCGATCCCGCTCCCTGCTGCCGGTGACAGCCCCGTGCCGGCCAGCCAGGATCCGCGGTGCCGGATGGAGGCGGGCGGGGCGGCTCCGCGCCGCCGCTCACGGTCGGAGACGACTTGGGTGCCGGAGTTAAGCACGGAAAGTGCTTAAAAAAAACAAACAACACACCAAGCTGGAAAGCTTATTCTTAATTTTTATCCGGCACAAGAGCTTGTCAGTGGTGCACAGCTGTGCGCGCACAGCAGAAAGGCAGAATCGGTCCTCTGGTCTCGCAGGGACCGGCGGCCCTGCCGCACACACGCGGCACATTCGCTCTCCGCTCTTGGGAGAAGTTTTCCCGCTGCTATTTAACTAAAGGTATCTTCCTCAAGTCGCCGAAGAATATTTCTTTAAGGATGAAAGAAAGGGCTTTGGTTTCAATTCTGAGTTTTTGAGTGATGCTTATAAATCAGCCCCAAATGCACAGTGATATAATTTGAGCGTTCAACGGTAAGATTGTTTTTTAAAAAGCGAAAGTTGCCGTGCCGGAGTTGCAATTGTGTAACGACTTTGCTTCAAGTAAGGTTATGAAACAGTATCAAGCATTGAGTCAGAGCAGCTCTGCGAAATGAGACTGTGTAAGTACAGCTTGGGAGAAGGAAAATGTGTCACAATAGCAAGAAATTATGTTGACTTTTTATTTGGGCCCGTTCCAAAGGATCACGGCAAGAAGGTTTTTCTCAATTTTCTATTCTCTGTTCTATTTTGTAAGATGATTGCTTCCATCTGTGTCAGCCTCCAGGTAAAATACCGGGAAGGGAGCTGCTCAAGTTAACTGAAATTTATGGGCAGTAACAAAAGAGATATATGACATATGTGTGACCATATCCCAGCCTGTGGCTGCCTCTACGTGTAACATAAGTATAGATGAGAAGAGATTGAGCAGTAAATGGCAAATTCTCCCAGCAGAGATCTTGCTTCAGTGTGCATTTCAGTTCCCTGTATGTGAATAAATCATAATTTATTTGCACAGCTTGTGCTCTGCCACTTGGAAAGAAGTGTAACCTGGGCAGTGAGATTTTTTGTTTCCATCTGTACACCTTGCATTATATCTTCAATAAATACCGTATTTTAAAAAATTCTAAATACATATTTATAAATGTACATTATACTTATTATTTATATTCTATTTATATTCTATAACATTTATTGTTTGAAGTGTCTCTGTTACTTGAGATTACAGCAAAGATAAACCTGCTTTCTTTTTTTGGTGGTAGCTGTATTCTTTGTCATAGACTGTGATATAAATTTGATTTTAGTGTTGCAGCTTCCCAGGAATTAAAACCACAACACACATAAATAGTTTATCAATATAAATTAAGTATGTTATCTTTAATTTTTCAGACAGCTATCTTAGGAAGAAGCCTTTTTCCTGGGGAAAATTTGCATGCTGCCTCTCAGACCTAGGCAGAGCCTTATTTGCCCTTAAAAAAAAGTATGGTAGGGGATGAGAGGGAGAATAGGTGTCTTGGGGACCCCCTTCCATGGTATGGTCCCAGCTTTGTCAGTCCATCTCCAAACACTGGGTACTGGGAACCCCAGAGCTGCCAGGGCGATTTAGCCCTGCTGGGAGATTTTCCTTTGTGTTTTTAATGCGATTTTTAAGGCCCATGTGATTGGGTAGCCAGCCCCAAGCTGCACAAGAATGGAACTAATCAGAAGTTTTATCAGCACAGGGGTATAAGAAAGTGGGATGAAAGCAGTTCTTTCCTATCTTCCTTCTTCCTTGCTGACAGAGCGCCCCAAGGAGAGAAAGGCACCTGTCTTTCAGAGACCTCTGCAAGGCAAAGAAGTGGTTTAGTTCATTTTTCATCAGGTTGAATCAACCCAGCTGCTCCGTCATGATATATCTAATCCCACCTACAGAGCACCCCATGCCTTTTTTCAGAAAGCTTCTGTTAGTTTTTTCTTCATGTTATGCCACCAAAGAAAAACAACAGAGAGAAGCTCATTCGGCAGCAAGTTTAACTATTGGAGTTTTTTTCCCCCTTTATTTTCCTTTTACTTTCTGTAGCTGGAACCAACTTTGGGTAAGTCAGATGTTTTGAATACCTAGAATAATTATTCTAACATGTATGCAAAGCAAAGTGGCCTAGTGCAGCCCATACTGCACTGCTGAAACTGCCTGAAGTCTCAGCACGGCTAAACAGAAAGGAGGCAGTATGATGAAGAATATGTTACAGGGCAGAGATAAGAAGTGGAAAAGAAGCAAACAAGTTAAGTGTGTGTGAGAAGAAAATATTTCCAACCTTGATGGTTCTTAGTGGCAGATATCTGCTGGGTACGCTGCAGATATCCTTCACAGACATCCAGCATTCTTCAGTATGAAAATGAGGGTGCAAGAATATTGTGAAACTCACCCTGGAGCTGGGATATGATTGGGAAAGTAGTTATTATTTCTAGGTTGAGTAATGCTGCTGCAGCCAGTGGGGCTGTGTTAGCAAGTCTGTGGTGTGTAAGTTCTCACCAATTCATTTCAGATCATCAGCTGTACACTGAAAGGAAGGCAGGGTTGATGAAGCTCTGTGCTTACATTACTTTTAGAAAATGTACAGGGTGTTCTGTAAACATTGCACAGCTCTTGTACTGCACAGGTAAACAAAGAGTGCAGCACTGGCCAATGCACAGACTCTCCAGTGCATCCTTGCCTTTTACTCATTGTTTTGCTAAAGACCTACATCAGGTAGCCAGAGACAGACAGATGTGGCCTCTTCCATGCTGTTTTCTGAGTTACCTTTGCTTTTTATGGAAAGTTGATACTAGTATTTAATTTCTTGGGAATGAAAACACAGAGCTGATGCACAGCTGTGGTCCTGCTGCCTGCACATCTTGTTGTATGGTTTCATCCCTCCTTCTCCTTGTAAGACAGAGTATTGTGCCATGCTTGGGAAATCCTGAGAGACACTACTGGAAAACACAGCACATCATTAATTAGTAGTAATAGTAGTTAAAAGACTGAGAGACCAACATTCAATTACAGCCAGTATGTTCAATCTCTTCATTTCTATTTCCTTCCCTTTGCTGTGCATGAGTGGCTTCACTTCTCTCATTTCTTTGCTTTGTGCCTTCCCTGTTTCTTTTTGCCTGTCTGGTTTTCTTTCTCTTAAGAATTGTTTCAGCGTTCTTCCTCCAACATGCATGGGTACATCATTTATTCACTAATGACTGCCACAGAGCAGTATTGTTTCAATTTTATAGTATTTAGCACTTCTAGCTTACAGAACACTTTCAGACTTTCCCTGGGAGGAAGCTGACAGAAACCCTGACAAAGTCCAGTTGCTGAACACTGCAAGGAAAGAACCCTTATATTGTTAACATCCAAATAAAGCATAAAACCCTTTGGGTTCTTGTGTATCACTTTTGAAAAATAGTATTTGGCAGCCACGATGGAATTGGATGTATCACAGCATGTATAGAGAGCTAAGCCTGGCCTCCCTGTGGGCAAAGCAAAAGGGTTAAAAATCAGTGACATCTTACTAACTTTCAATTTCTAACTTAACCTTTGGGAATTACTTATCTGAAGGCAGCCAGAGAGAATCATTGTGCTCGGAGCTCTTGTTCCCATCACACCTTGTTGCTCCTGCACATGGCAATTACTTCACATCTCAGTAAAAGCAGAGCCTTTCAAGCTGTCAGTGGAGATGACAGATTGTGCACATGGCAGCTGACAGCCTGCTTCCTTGGGAAATAACAGCACAGATCTAAGTGCAGGAGAACAGGAGAACTCCTCTGCTCCACTTAAGATGCTTCCTCATAAGTAGAATCCACTAGGTAGAAGTATGGGAGCAATGAGCCCTGCAGATTTTCCCTCCCTCCCTTGTCCAGCCTCCACCCAAGACCTAATTGATCCTATCACAGCAGAGTACCTCATTGTCCTCCCCTTTCTTCTTCTTCCCAGCCTCAGTTCTGAATTCTTCCCTGCTTTTTCTTTCACTTATTCAGTCTTTTATCCTGTTTTTGACCTTGACTTGTATCTCTGATGGCTTTGTCTGCTGCCTTTTTTGTGTGTACTTCTATTCATTGCCAACTTCCTCCAAGCCCACAGCCCAGGCCTACCTGCCCTTTCTTGTTTACCCCTCTCAACCTTTCTCATCCTGTGTGCCTTACCAGTCCCTCTATGCTCACTTTGCCTTCAAAACTCTGCTCTGCTTCTATGACCAGGATTTCTCTCGATCCCATGCAAACTGCACTGTGGTCCCAGCCACTGAAATCTCACATTAAATCAGTGTGAGCAGAGCCCTGAGTGCAGGGACAAAAACCACAGTGCAAGAACTCCCATGCGGCCCAAGCTTACCCTGATCTCCAAATAAATTCACTGGGTCAGAGCTGTGACAATGCAACCTCATCTGTGCCATTTCCTATCAGCTAAAGCACATCTGTCACAAGTAGGATTTCCTCTTCTCCAGTCCCTGCCTCCTCGTCCCAGCAGTCAC